CAATACTGGCAGTTACCAAGTCAAATTCACTGAAGCACCCGTCCCCGAGCATGAACACTGCTTTGTAGTCACCTCAAGGTGGAGCACCCACAGGAACACACCTCGAAGGAGAAGGGAAGGTTACTCGCCCTGTGCAGTAACTGGAGTTCTTTGAAATGGTTGTCTCCATGGGTGCTCCACCACCCAACCTCCTGCCCTCTGCTTCGGATCCAACTACATCTACGTCAGAGAAGGAACTGAGGAAGCAGTTGGCTGTGCTGTGTGGGATAGCCATTTCAAATGTTATGTGCTGGCGTTCCGCATGCACAGTCGATCCGGGTTGTGGAGCACGGCTGTAAAAAGTCTCCAACTAGAGGCACAGTGGCACTGACGCACCTCAAGGTGGAGCACCCACCATCTAAACTAACAAAAGTATGTATGGAGACAATCATCTTGAAGAACTCCAGTTACTGCACCACATGAGTAACCTTCCCTTCCTTCTCGACAGAGCCAAATGTAGTTGCCTGGGGAAGTGTAAGTGTTTTAGAAGTGTGTGTTGGGGGATGTAAGTTCCACCCTCCAAGGTCCAGGGCAGATCTGTTGTTTTGCCACAGTTATGATTCGTATGTCCATGTGAGGGCACAGGACTTGCAACTTTTGTGCAGAGATTTATGGCCACTGGCCTAGTAGATAAAAGGTTCTGGTCTGTCTCCCTTAAAATTCTCATGGAAGTTTGTGCAAGCCTGAGAAACAGCATTACACACTAAATTAGAGAACACTGAAAAAATTCTTAACACGTCCCGCTGGTTTTATCAGTGAATACATGTTATTAAAATGATTGGCAGTCAGCACCATATATTTGTATGAACTGATAAGATTTAAGAATTGCAGGTTTAAAAATAATTCTGAAATATATGCCTGTTTTACTGTGATCCTCTTATTCTCCACATACAGCTTCCATTACCAACCGTACATAAACACACATACAGGCACTCTAAGAATTGTTTTAAGTGATCAGCCAAAATAATAAAAAAAAGGTGTTCTGTGATTAGATATACTAAAGCTTGACCCTCAAAGGTTAATATTTTTCCAATTAATTGGATGATCCACTGGGGAATTTTCTCCAAGGAAGATAATTGCATTTCTTTTCAGTAAATTATTGAGTGCTTCACTAGTTTAACAGATTAAAAAAAAAGTGGAATTCTGATTTTCTAGGGAAATTAGGCAGTAGTATATTTTATAATACATTTTCTGAGGAGCAGAACACTTGCTCCTGCTGTTAAGTGGCTGTATTAGAGCTTAGAAGACAAGCCATTTTAAAACATGGTTGTTTAAGTTTTGTGTTCTGCTGTAGAATGGCAATCTTTTTAGCATACTGCCTGGTAGTTAGTCTCAGAACGATAGCCACGTTAGTCTGTAACTTCTAAAAAATGAGTAGCCTGTAGAACCTTAGAAACTAACAAAAGTATGTCGGTATAGTATCATGAGCTTTCTTGGGCAAAACCCACTTCCTCAGATGAGGAGAGTGGAGATAAAAAGGGGAAGCTCTCAATATGTAACAGAAAAAGAAGGAGCTGGGTGGAGGGGAGGGAAGATACCTGTCAATTGTAGTTCCAATGAGACAAATTGAGTGGACTGGAAGTATCTTTAGATGTGATAGGTGGGAAGGAGGCAGAGTGCAGCCTTGCAGCTAGGAGTAGAGCCCCACAATTGATGGTGGAGCCCTACAGTCGGTGGCGGGAGCCCGGAGCGCAGCCCCGCAGCCACAGTTCGACACTGCTAGCCATGGAGCTATATCCCTGGGCCCCTGTTACAGGGCTCCAAAGGTGCCTTACCTCTTCTTCCGAGCACCCCCTGTTCCCACTCTATCAATGCCAGCCCCGCCGATGTGGCCATAGCAAAGCCTCTCAGTCAACAGCAAAAGAAGGGCTTACATTGACCTCCACCGCTCCATCACGTTCCCTGGTTCGCGGGGGCCCCCCCTTTGAAACAGCGCATGCGCTGTGGTGCCAAGGCGCATGCGTGGGGCCTCGGGAAGCGCGGGGCCCGGGTTAGTCGCCCTACTCGCCCTGCCCTAAATCCGCCGCTGGGTACAACCTGTCCAGCATTTGACTCACAGTGTATTAATTCAAGGTTCCCACACACCCGAGAAGGTGACAGTTATTAAAATCCTTCCCACCCATGAAGTCCCAGATATTTTACAAAGTAAGCCACTCTAGATTCTTTTCAGTTCTACCCTGTGATCAGGCTGGTGAATTGCTATCAACTGTGGAGCAATGTTGTGAATGATGGGGTCATCTGTCATCGAAAGCTAGACTGGAAAAAAATCTAGCTTTATATAAGCCAATGAAAAGGTGATTGCTTTAGAGCAGGGCTCTCCAAACTTTTTAAGCACGAGATCACTTTTTGAATTTAAGTGCAGTCCAAGATTTACCTCAAATATAATTATCCTTGCCCCGCTGTAGCCAGACAGGAACCCCCCTGTAACATCCATTTTTGCTTGCCTGGAGCATACAGGGCACACAGAGCAGAAGGCCCAGGCTGTGTGACCATGAATGGCTGTAAACAGAGATATGCCAATTGCTGACCAAGTGGCTGCCAAAGAGTGCTTTTGACTTAACCCATATTGATACGAACACACAGCCGTCCGCGGGAGGAGGAATCTCTCGCCCAGTAAAAAATGTCTAGTACTCACAATTTAGTTATCTCTCTTGCAAGTGTAAATTAACTTGAAACTTGCTTGTAAGAACTGGCACCACAAAATTTGTACTGGCACCAGTACAATTTGGCATCTTAAGATAAGAAAGAGGATACGGGCCCCCAGGGGTATAAAGATGGGTCCAGCAGCACATTTACTCTGAGTGTCAATCTACCATCTATGTGCTGGTCGGGTTAGGTGTTTGATCTCCCGAGGTTCAAGAGGGGACGCCCACCTCATATTCGTCTTTCCTAGGAATTGAGAGACCAGCCCTGGCCTGACACGCTGGAGTCAAGAGGCACAGAAAGGGGTAAAAATTGTACCTGGATGTGGTCCTTTGCTTAAGTATATATATACATAGTGTTAGAGCTCTTTAAAGATTAAGCTGTCACTTGGTACCATTATTTCTATTTTCTATCTTTATTTTCTTTGTAACTATTTTTAAAATCTGTATTTGCTAACAGTTAAGAAAGAGAGCAATAGCCATTGTAACCATATGCTTTTATAAGTCTTTTTAATAAACCTGTAACTGTTTAAGTTTTTAACCTTACTCCTTCAGTTGCTGTAACAGAACCAAGCACAATTTAAAAGAACTTCAGCCGGTCATAAGGGACAGGTATAGGAAGAGCTTGGGCGTTTGGATTTGTGTCACTCCCAGGTGACAGGTCCGTTGGGGCACCTCTCAGTCTTTTCCTAAGGCTGCCCGCTGCGAAGGAATCTTGCATTCTAGCAGCTAAAATCTGAGGTGTAATAAGCTCTTCCAATAAAGGGGCGTCTGTTGGCCTGCTGGCTACCCTCTGCGACAGGACCCCGGTCCTAGCAGTAAAGACACAGACGTTAAACCTTTTCTCGAAAACACACACACACACACTGCCCTGACCATTGGCTGACACCCACCTCCTTCTCTCCCCTTCTCCAGAGCCCCACCTCTGCTCACGCCATCCTCCCTCTCTTGTCCATCCTCACTCACTTTCATCAGGCTGGGGCAGAGGGTTGGGATGCAGGCTCTGGTCTTGGATTAAGGGATCTGGAGTGTGAGAGGGGCTCTGAGCTGAGCTTGGGGCAGGCAGTTGGGGTGCTGGAGGGGGTTCCAGGTGCAGACTTTGGGATGGTGTTTGGATGCAGGGATGCTCAGGGCTAGGGCTAGAGGTGCAAGAGGGGGTTCATGACTGGAGTAGGGTTTCAGGATGCAAGCTCCAGCTGGGCCCTGCTTACCTCAGGTGTCTCCTGGGTGGTGGTGCAGTGGGGCTAAGGCAGGCTCACCCTTGCTCTGGCCCTGCACCACTCCCTAATGCAGCCAGCAAACTCCCTCCATCCCAAGTCCTGTTGTGTCCCCTCTGTGCTTTGTGGAGAAAGGATACAGAGTGGGAGGGGGCACCTTGACATCAGCACCCTCCTCTCCCTTCCCTGCCCTACATGGAAAGCAGGAGGCTCATGAAGGGGAGGAGCATCTCCAAGGCAAAGGGCAGGAGAGAAGCAGCAGTGAGGGGAAGGGAGGCTGAAATGTTAGCACTTGATAGCCTCTTGGCCAAACCTGTCAGGATCCCCTGCCAGAGGATCCAAAATCTTCCAATAGATCCTGATCTGCTGGTTGGTGACCATTTCTTTAGAGTGTTGGTCAGCATTTGAACTAGTGATCTAGAACAGTGTTTCTCAACCTCTTTTTTTTATAAAGTACCCCTTTAAAAAAATTGTAAGTACCCCCAGTATCTACAGTTTAAACAACTTAATCGTAGCCGGGCAGGTGATAAAATTTTGGGTGTAAAAAGTACAAAAATAAGAAAGCGCTGTAAAACTTAAAACAAAAATTCAGTTTTCTCCAAATTTCAGTGGTATTGACATACCCCCCAGACTTCTCTCAAGTACCCCTAAGGGTACTCATTGAGAAACACTGACCTAGAAGCAAAATGGTTCTATATCCCACTACCAATCCCTCCATCAGGATTTTCAATACATTATATTAGTGCCCATATGCAACTCCTTAATGGTTGCAATGGAATTAAAAAGAGAAATATTATGTGCTAAGTGTGTGCAGCTTGGCTTAACCTCATTACCTCAGATTCATGGTTTATCCTGTCAAAATTCCACCTGCTCCAAACCTGCAGTCTGAAAAGTCTCTAGGTAGACTTGCAAATACAACACCTCTGGACCCACTTTGTTTGACTGAGTCAATAAGCCTGTCATGATCATGAGGGTTAGCCAGCAGTCTGGGAATTAATGAGTTAATCTTACCTAAGTCAAGTGGATTTAGCCAATAGGAATGTAGGTAGGAATTTCAAACTGGGACAAAGGAATTTTTGGTTTTTCCCTTTCCTTTGTCCAGGGCAGTTCCCTCCAGCTACTGAAGAAGACAGACAAGTCTCTCTCTCCAAGACACAATTCTTCACTCTTCTGTAAGTAGGGTAAAATTTAGATAGATCCATTAGGTTTTATGGTTTGGAAAATGGGATTTGATGTCTGTGTACTTTTAAAAAATGTTTTGGCTTTCCTTTGTAACTAAGTTCTAGGCCCATGGTGGAGTTTCTCCATGGCCGTGTCCAGACTCAGGGGTTTTTTCGGGAAAAGTAGCCTTTTCCCGAAAAAACTTCCCCTGCGTCCAGACTCAAGCCGCGTTCTTTCGAAATTATTTCGAAAGAACGCGGCTTTTCTTTCGATGGCGGTAAACCTCATTTCACGAGGAAGAATGCCTTCTTTCGAAAGTTCCTCTTTCGAAAGAAGGCGTTCTTCAATGTAAATAGGCCGTCTTCGAAAGAGAGCATCCAGACTCGCTGGGTGCTCTCTTTCGAAAAAGCGGATTTCTCTTTCGAAAGATCCGCCTGCAGTCTAGACGCGATCTTTCGAAAGAGGCTCTTTCGAAAGATGCTTTCGAAAGAACCTCTTTCGAAAGAAGCCTGCAGTCTAGACATCGCCCATGAGTATTACTTTATTACTTTTCCATCTAGTCATTGTGCTTGCAACAGGAATATTGTGGTGATAATAAAAGTTCTTTCTCTTTGCTTTTTATTAACCTGGTATTGGTTAATGGTTGTGTCCTGATTTGTACATTAAGGATGAGATTTCCCAAGTGATCTTTCGTATCAATACTTGGGTGGTGGCAGTGGAGTTTTTTATCACCAATATCTAGGTTGTTAAGATTTTGGGGGGAAGTTTTATACCAAAGCCTAGTAGATAAAGTTTTTGGGTACTTTTGCTGGCCCCCACTCCTGCATTTATTGTGCCAGAGTGGGAAAGGAGCTATGACAAAGCCATACATTAAAAAGACCCTGTGTAAGCAATCAGAAGATAGACAATAACTCCACAAAGCCAGGACTGTATATTGGATAAAGTGTACAGGGGTTCTCACAAGCATTGATGACGACAGTTACAACCTGATTCCACCTTGTATTAATAATTGTTAAGACATTGAATTTGGCAGCTATCATCCTATATCTCCTGAGTAGTACATAGTTTCCTCAGAGCTGTCCCGTGTGCTCCTGTGAATTGTAATATTATATCAAATTCTATTTATGAAATACTGTAAAGGTGCAACACAAGACATCTTCTGTGTCCTAATTTCTTATGAATCAGTCATTTTCAGGGCACTGGGAGGGATATTAGGCCTGATGAAGCTGTGTTCAAACAGTGCTAAGAGTTTGACTTTCATCTCCAAAACCAGAGAAATACAAGGCCTGTGACCCCTTGTACTGTACATTTCACTCACTGTTTGCAGAACCTGCAGTATTTAGGTCCCTTGGGCTCCGTTTCGGAGCTGAGCTATGAACTGTGATTTAGCGTCTTTGGGTTTAGGTCAGATCTTCGTTATTGCTTTATACGTGTTTTTGTGGGTTTATTTTCATGACGTTTGTAAGATACCAGCAAGTTGTTTGCACAGCACAGGGTTGCTTAGCAACAGGGTAACGTTCTAGATTCATGCGCCTTCCCCACCCTTGCTACACGTACCTAATGTGATTCTCAGGGTCTAACACTTTTTTAAGGGGAATATTTGCAATTGATAAATCTCCGTCTGAAACCGTAACATTCTGCTGTCTGAAATGCAGTCAGACACCATGACATTTTGTGGCGCTGCTCAGCACTGTCACCTTACAAACCAATTGACGGGGCCTCCTGATTACAGCTTACACCATGCCCATGCTGTTACTGAGGGTGCCATTTTGGGACGGCAGGAGGGGCAGAAGCTATGAGTACTGGGATGCTGCTTGCTTTTCTTTCCGTTCCCCTATCAGTACATGGAAAGTACATGGCTTCTGTGCATGCCTCTCACTCACAAACCCCCCCGCCCTCCCAAAATGGAGCCCTTGGCTACTGCTGTTAAGGATTTGAAATGTTACACCACCTGCTCAGACTTATAACCGTTTCTAACCTCACAGGTTATAACCTGGCATGCAAGAACTGGGCTTGATGCCGGCAGAGACAATTAACAGATGATGATAGACCAGAATGTAATAGAGTTACACCACCGAACACCAGGAAAGCCCCGCAGCTCAGTAATAAGCATTAACGTGTAGCTATCTTTGAGCCATTTCCTTGGTATCTCAATCCCAAAGGCAACATGGTTGGAAGCTAAGGTTTAAAAACAAGTAGCTTTTATGTATCAGGCATAACTTTGGCTAGTGTTCACCATGTCATGGGTGAGGGAGATGATGTAATGGCTATGGCACTATTGTAGGTTTTGAGAGAGCTGGTTCAAATCCTTCCTTCTTCACCGACATCCTGCATGACTTCAAGCAAGTCACACACTTCTCTGCCTCAGTTCCCCACTGTAAAATGGGGAGAATTACACTGCCCTCCCACCAGGAGGAAATATAAGTCCCCCTCATCGAACCAATCTATGCAACTGCAGCTACGTGAATAACATGGCTGAAGTCAACATACCACAGTATCGTCCATGCAATAAGGTCAGCGGATGCTACTCTCCTGTCAACTCTAGCCACTCTTCTCATCTTGGTGGAGTACTGGTGTCTATAAGAGAGTGCTTAGAGGTCAATTTATCGCATTTAAGCACACATGACAAATCGACCACCAGTGGGTCAATTGCTACAGCATTGATCCACTGTGAAGTGAAGACAAGCCCTGAGACTCAATACATTAAAGATTGTAAAGCGCTCAGATACCACAGTGATACCACAGTGAGGACCTAAGATGGATGGGTCCTGGGGTTCAAACCCTCTCCAGTACTTGATCCCAGCCTACATGGAGACCCCAATGAGTAACTTCCCCAGAGTGAAAAGAAAGAAGGGTGATACCAGAGAGACACCGCTCCATCCTTCCATGGCCATTCATGATCCAGCTTCTTTCCCATTGCAAATGAAATGAATTATTTGGGTCTATAGTAATGAATTCATAAAGGGATGAGTCCAGAGTGTCAACCCTGAGCATTCCCAAGGGTCAGGGCCTCAAATAGTGAAATTCCTTTAAAAAAAGCATGAGATTTTAAAAATAATAAATGTTTCCCTTTTATATTTGCTTCCTGGGTTTTGATCCTTTAGAGTTCACATTTTCACGCTTTTCTTTATAACAATTAGTGCTAAAATATTTCTTTTTCTGAGCTTTTGATGTATTCACATAACTCCAGGAGACGAGGCTTTAAGAAAACCACCAAATATCACAAGATGGTAATAGAATTGTGAAAGTTGGCAACATCCTCTGGGAGCCAGAAAAGTTAATGGGAAGACTAGCATTGATTTCAATGGGAAGTGAATCAGACCCATAAATAACAACAATAATCAGAGATACTAATTGTATCAATGAATCAATCATATTAGTATAGATTAACTAATTAGGAGCTGAAGTGGTTGCTGTATTTTGATTACTTTTTATGGTACATGTCTTTTGGACCAATTTTTTTAAACCTAAAGTGACCTATGGTTGTTTTTTTAATAATTGTCTAGAGCCAAGTGTATCTTAATATCACCTATTTTTCTTTGAGAAAAAAACCCCTAAAACCTTCATTGCAATTAGAAAATACAAGCAGAAGCCACCTACAAACACATCTCCTATCAAAATCTTTCCTTCATTAAAGAAACTTGTTATTTCACATATTTGTTTAGATTGCAGCAAGGAAGGAGGAATCTTCCTAGTAAGGTTGGTCCATTAATTCCCCTACTGTTTATATATATATGTGTGCTTTAAGAAAGTATGATTCATATTGAGAATATTAATTATCAGAAGGGCAGCTGTGTTAGTCTGGATCTGCAAAAGTGACAAGGAGTCCTGTGGCACTTTATAGACTAACAGATGTATTGGAGCATAAGTTTTCGTGGGCAAAGACCCACTTTGTCAGATGCATGCAGTGGAAATTTCCATAGCAGGTATAAATATGCAGGCCAGAATAAGGCTAGAGATAATGAGGTTACTTCAGAATATTAATTGTTACTGCTCTGAAATCCCCCCCTAGACCTCTTTACAGTGCTGTCTATTGTTTCCAGCATTGTTGTCCCATACTTAGCCTTTTAGTTTTGAGTCATATTGTCACACACACATAGGGAAATTTATCCCTGTAGAGAGGACTAGTGTGATGTCTATCATCTTGGTCACAATCAGGGATCCAACTTGATGCATGTATAGCAATTGTTCTTGGAAGTCTATTTGGATGCACTACTAGTCAAGGAAAAATGTGTTTGTCTTTACACTTGGCATGACCTGGGGTCAGATTTCAAAAGAACTCCCTGACCACAGTGAGGGCTGGGTATGCAAAAAAACTCTCCTCCCAATCAGGCATCTAAATAAAGGTCAGATTTGTAAAAGGTGCTCAGCACCCATGTGGTGGTTGGCTCTTTTGATGATCTATAGGACACTACAAAAATGTGGATCTGCATCTGATCCTCATCCGCCAGGCTGACCGATCCACAATTCATGTTCTGGATTTTACTTGCATCTATACAGCAAACCATCTGGAGGGGAAGGTGGATGGAGCACATATGAGTGAGGAGGGGGCAGGGTCTTATAGGGAAGAGGCAGGCAGTATGAAAGCAGGGATTGGGGGTAAAGGGCAGCAAGGATTGGGGGTAAGAGCAACAAGGACCCAGGGTCAGGGTTCCACAAGCCAGTATCCACCAGGCAGGAGTGGGAGGAGGGGGCTGAACAGGACTGGCACTCAGCCCCTCCTGCAGGGAGATTTTGGACAGAGTTTGTTGCTTTTTTTCCCTGTTGGCAATACAGGAGCCTATCCTGTGCCCTTTCTCGCCACCAGGCTGGGGTGGAGGGAAGCTCTGTGTGGGTATCTGCTCCACTGTCTGTGGCTATGAAGCGCATATGAAGTGGCTATAGGCAGAGAAGGCCATTTATTTTGTTACCTGAATCTGAAATTTTTGAAAGAAGGACAAAGCCTCCTGAAAAAGAAGAAAATAACATCCCAAAAGTGTCCCACCTCATTCCTGATCTAAATTATATTGAAGTCAATGGACTTGGCTCAGTTTGTTGG